GATGAAGAAAATGAGGCTCAGAGAAACCAAGGAGCTGAATTACTGAGTGCTTACTACATGCCTGGCAATGAACCACTGGAAAATTTGAGAGCCTAGGTTCAACCCATTCTTACTCCTATGCCACTGGACCCCAAACCACTAGGCAAGGTATGCCTTTGTCCTGCAGACCTTGGTACTCAGTTTCTGGAGGCTGGTCCGAGAGTGGAAGATCCCATGGTCACTTCGGTTCAGTCTGTGCAGGCAAAAAACAGTCAGGAGTCAGGTACAGCTTTGAAATTGTGATTCCACCCCATAGGCCTCGAATCACACTTTGTGTGTCCTACTTGGTCATCCAGGAGCCCACCTGGCCTGGACATCAGCTGCCTTCTCCTGTGCCAAGGCCCATACACGTTCTCGCTGCCCATAGAGCTTCCAACTTCGGCTCAGTTCCCGGACAGACTGTAGCACCTCAGCCTGTGCCCGCTGGAGACTCTCTGTCCCCTAGTGGCAAAGACAGACAGAACCCTGACCAAAAGAAACCGTGTCTAACCCTGGAAAGAGGTCCCTTTACCTCCCCCACTGAGACATACCTTCCTAAGCACCTGCTCCTTGGCACTCCTGCCAGTGCCCCCTGCTAAGTCACGGTATCTGTCAGACGCCTGGAGCCGGGTTTGGCCTCCAGCCACCGTGGCATCCAGTAGGCAGCGCCAGGCACCAAACACTGTCCTGCCCCTCCCCAGAGAAAGTCTGTGTTGAAGAGAGAAACACTCCACCGGTTCATGAGATTCCCCCCATCTCAACACCACAAGAGACAGAGTACTACCCCCATCTGGGAGCCCATCAATCGATCAGCCCATTAGCCCAGCCACAGGACCGCTCATGCCCTCCACCCCCACCCACAGCGTCCTTGCTGGGTCAATTCCTCTGCTGTGTCAATTCCTCTGCTGTGTCAGCTCTACCTGCAGCTCACGTGCCTTTCCCTGCTCATTAGGTCCTCATCTCCAGAGATCTCTGGGGCTGAGCTCCCCATCATCTCCAACTCTGCCACTCACCTGCTGTCCACCTCCCCACTCCGCTGCCCTTCCCTCTTCAGGAATGGACCGGCCAGCTTCTGGAGAGCCTGGTGAGAAAGCCACCACAAGTGCAGATCTTTTATGAAGACCCAGCCCAACTGGGGGAGAATTTAGATACCATTCTTCGGCAATACAACATACACATTTCCAAAACGCCTTCACTAATTCATTTGACCCTTATGACCATATGTGGAGTTTGGGTATTATTATTACTATTCCCATTTTACAGAGAAAAAAGTTGAGGCCAAAAATACCAAATAACTTGTCCAAGATCACACAGCTAGGTAAGTAGTAGGGCAGGGTTTTGACACAAATCTGGCTGACTCTTGATATTTGTTCTTTTTTAAAAAATTATAAAATCATCTTATTCCAATTAACTCACAAATGAAAACATCACAGTTAGTTAGGTTATTTGTTCTTGACCACAATAGCTTGGGCGGGGAGCACTGCTGCCTGTGTAACGGGAGGCTAGAAAAAGAGGGAAGGTCCAGACAGGCGTTCCATACCTGGCCATACTCCCGTTCAATGGCAGCCCTCTGCTTGCTGTATGATCTGTGGAGGTTGGGAGTAGAATGGGGGGGTTACTGTTTGCTGCTGTTGTCCCACACTCAATCCTCTCCTCAGTTTGAGCAGGAGGAAGAGGGAACCAGCCCAGAGCATGACTACATCCAGAGGGAATGGGTCTGAACGATGAGAGTCCTTGAGATCACCTCTGGCAGCTGCAATACAGGTCAGCCTCACCTTATCGCTCAGAGCCCAGCAGGATCCTCCCACCCCTGGAGAACCGTCTGTGGGCCTGAAGGTGAGAGAACTGTCAGGACTCAGTGTCCACCAGACTCCCAACAGGTCTGGGAGAGGGAGGGAACTCTACCCTAAGCTTGATTGTGGGGGTGAGGAGAGTGGTGTGGGGTTTGAGGAAGGGGCTCTCTGTTTATGAATACAGCCCCAGAATTTGAAGAGGCAGACCTAAGATGAGGGTCATAAATGAGTAGGCCAGAAAGATCATCCTGACAACGCCCAACCCTGGCAGATGTATGCTGAGGAAGGAGTGATGCTCGCTCCTGTGAAGATGGAGGTGAGGGGTCTGGAGCTACCTGATGTCCTCCAGCAGATCCGCCTCCTTCTGTTGCCGGGTCTGAAGGATGCTCAGCTGCTCCAAGAAGCGAAGTTTCACCTCCTGGGCTGGCTTCACCTGTAGGATTATAAAAGAGATTAAGATCCCCAGCCTAGTACCCCACTCCCGGCGTGGGGACCTACAAAACACCTCACAGGGAGCGGTGAGGGGGCGGGGCCCGAGAAAGGCTGAGCTGTTTCCTCGGTTTCTTCTGTGTTAGGCTTTGACCTCCTTGCCACTCCCTGTGTTCCACCCTGAGTCAAGTGCTCGTAGACTCCCTCGGCTCCCTCCGATCCCCAGGACCTCCAGGCATTCCCCTTTTCCCGGGCAAATCTCACTTTTCGGGGCGGCGGCTGCATCTCGGATCCAGCAAAGGCTGCCAGACACTCCACTCCGGAACTCGAGGAGGCCCCGCCCACGGCAAGGCCCCGCCCCAGAGATGGCCGGCCCCGCCCACGCTCGTCAAGCTACGCGCCGGGCGCGGAAGCACACAGGGGCAGCAGAGGAACTGAACCTGTTATTGCCACAAACACCCCGGAAGGGTCCCGGCCGCGGGGCGGACGCAGCGTGCGCCTGGCGGTAGGGAGAACCTCGGGCTTCTGAGTCCAGACGCCTGGCTTCTATTTCTAGTATAGCCACTGATTCAGCCTGTAATTATTTCTGGTCATTCATTTACATATGCATATCGCTAGTCCTGATACTAGTGCAGAAGACCAGGTGACCAGGGAAACTGAGTCACTGGACACCTGAGCGAAGATGCCTCTAATCCCTGTAGAACTGGAAATGCTAGCGTGAGAGGGTTAAGATATACGCCCGGAGCCCACAGAAACCAGTCCAGAGGAAAAGATGGGTACATCCTGGGCTCCAGTAGGCACTACTGGTATCAGTGAAGGGGTGTGTGGCTGTCGTCATTTTGGGTCTTTATGCCCCTAATTTACCAATTTTAGCGTGGTGTGTGTGTGTGTGTGTGTGTGTGTGTGTGTGTGTGTGTGTGTGTGTGTGTGTGTACATGTGCGTGCCAGCACAGGCCAGCGGAACACTCGTGTGTTGATCCTTGCCTTCCATCTTGTTAGACACAGGGTCTCTATTGTTTTTCTGCTTACAAACTGCGGAGGATTCTACTAGCCCTGGAATTACAGGCACTGGTACTACAAGTCCAGCTTTCTTATGGCTTTAGGGATTAGAACTCAAGTCCTCACACTTATATAGCAAGTGCCTTTATCCCCTAATCCATCTCCCTAGCTCCTCTGTGTGTATTAAATTTATTTTACCCCACAACCCTTCTATCAGTAAGATGCAAGTTGTATTGCTGAACACACACCGGGTTGGTGGGGGGTGACATTCCTAGTGATGTATTTCCCTCAAATTCCAAGACCACCACCCCAGTCCATGACTTAATTATCATTTTTCAGGTTTAACATCCAGCCTCCTTGCCTCCAGCTTCTTCCCATGATTCACTGTTCCTACAGTGGCCAGTGTCTGAAAAGGAAACTAAGATAACAGCCTTTTACGCTTAAAATGTAACTGTTTCCAAGGAAAACCCAAATGCCTAAAATCCAAATAGAATACAGGCTACAAGGATATGATGGTTGGGCCCCTGCAAAAAGCATTCTCCTCTTGCCATTATTGAAAGGACAGGGACAAGGCTCCACACTGTCCCCCACAACAACCTGAGGAGTTCCCCTAGACTTTTGTCTTTGTTTTTTGAGACAGGGAGTATAAGCAATTTTGTCTTAGTACTAGCCATGTATATTCTTTTGGTGGTTCTCAGATTACATCTTTTTGTTTGTTTTGTTTTTATTTTTCAAGGCAGGGTTTCTCATTGTAACTGCCGTGGCTGTCTTAGAACTCAAACTGACCTCAAACTCACAGAGATCCACCTACCTCTGTCTCCCAAGTGCTGGGATAAGAGGTGTCCACTACCATATCTCAGAAGATTAAAGTGTTGCTAAGAAGTCTTTTTTTTTTTTTTTTCTTTTATCTCTTCTGATAAGAGAGATGCATGTGGTAGCTCAGGAGACAGAATTTTAATACAGTAAACCCAAAAAGCCACTAGAGTTGCACAAGGAGTGTATTACATATTCTACCCTTGTTCATGGGATTTCTAGTGACATTCCTAGAAAATTGCAGGTTTACAGCTGGTAAGGGAGAAAGGCCTCAAGCCATTAACTGTATTGGAATTCTTGTTGAGCTTCTGGCAAAGGCATTAGCTAGGAGCTCTGATGAATGACCTCTCTCTGCCTTCTCATATCCTCCAAATTTTCCCTATTCTTTTTTTTAATGTTTTTTTGAGACAGTACGTAGCCTTGTAGCCTTGGCTATCCTGGAACTCACTCTGAAGACCAAACTGGCTTTGAAGTCAGTGATCCACCTGCCTCTACTCCTGAGCTCTGGGATTAGATGTTTGTGTCACCATTCTCTACCCTTAGCTATCCTTCTATCGTGCCTCTCCTAGTGCCCAGGCTCTGCTCCAGCTGCCATCATTCTCCCACTAGGCCATCCCACAGCACTGCTGGGCTCTCATGTCTGCTGTCTGCTGTGTCCTGTACTCCTCCTCGAATTCCCTTATCCAGCTCCTTGCCTTTGTTTCTGCTCCTCAGAGGCTTGCATGCCCATCCACCCGGTCTGAAGGCCACATCCACATTCACTCTCAAGCTGTCACTTAGTTTAGTTTCTTTGAAGTACTAAACTCACCTGTGTATGTTTTCTGTTTCCTTTCTTTGAGCTCCATTCGTTTTGTTCATATTGTATCACTGGGTTTGGCACCGATTAGGTGCTCAGTACATACTTGTTGAATGAATGAATGAAAATGAATGGTGTTGAAAAATTGGCCCTTTGGTTCCAAAGTTTATTAATAGAGACCCATTCTTTTTTGGCTCCCCTTTGCCCCAGTTCCCAACCTCAATCGATCACCCTACTTTAGGGCTTGAGGGTGGTTCCAGTACATGGGAAGTGGAATAAGATATATTTGGACGCCATGCATATCTCTAGCTTCCAAATTTAGGCTTTTCATTAATGCAGTACAACCATCCTTATTCCCCAAACTTCTCACTGAACCACTTTATCAAATATATAAAGCAGGAGCTGCTCTTATTGAGGAAAAATATTAGGGCTTATAGCTCAGAAGTAGAGTTTGCTGTTTGCTCCTTTCCTTACTTTAGTGACTTCCTGAGACACACAGTCTCCAGGGCTCTCAGTCCAGTGCTCCTTCCATGGTACCATACTGGATTCCAGAGTTGTCCATCCAGGGCAGAAGCAGCTCCCATGGTAAGAGCCTGGCTTCTCCTTTGGTTACCCTACCTCCTCAACTGCTGGCCCTAGAGTCAAGTGAGAGGCTGGCTAGAGGCTGGGCTAGAGGTGGAGGGAGTTTGGGTAGGTAAACTGGGTGCCTGTGTTGGAATGCTGGTGGGGCTGGAGACTTGGGGACTGGTTGGCTGGGCAGGGCTTTCTGGACATGTGGCAGGCTCTCCCTTCCTCAGGATGAGGTTGTTGAGCTCCTGGAGCAGCTGTTCTTCCAGGGAACCCCGTGCCTGAGGACCACTCTTTGAAGCGGGGCCTGGAGAAGAGTTGGGTGTCCTCTCCTCCTGGCCCAAAATGCTTGCTTTGGAGACGGGGGTTTGATCAAAGGACCTGTGGCTGGCAAGGGGTGTCTCTGACTTGGCTGTCCACTCCCATGTGGAAGAGAAGGCAGCTGTGTCCTTGGTAAGCTCCGGGAAAGCCCCAACCTCCTCATACACTGGCTCTTCATACACAGGCTCCTCCAGCTCATCTTGTTCCTCCACAGACCCCTGGGGTGACTTCATTGGCTGGATGAGAATGGGGCAGTAGAGGATGGGCACAATGTTAGAGTTACAGTATTATTCATCCTTGATCAAGTTCTTCCTTGAGTCAGACACTACAAAATACTTGAGATGCCACAACAACCCCATGCAAGTGGGTCATGCTGCAGGAGGATGTGGTGCAGAGGGGTTAAGTTGCCCTGAATCACATAGTAAGGAAATAGTAGGGAGTTGGTGAAGCTTGAATTCAGATCTTTCTGGCTCCAGAATGCATTCAGTTAAACCCTTTTCCTTCCGTTTCTCAGATTTGTAATCACTTTCTCCTTCCCTCACCGTGTTACCCCTCACTGTCTTCTGTTACATACACTGAGGGCCTTCATCAGAACAGACATGGAGCGCACCAGGGCATAGGCAGCACAGAGCATACAGGGGCTGGCAAGCACAAAGCTAGAGCAAGCACAGTACTCACAAAGAACATGGATAAGGTCCTCCGGTTGTGTAGCCGCCGCTGGACACAGGTAGAGCGGGGAAGAGGGGAGGGAGAGACAGAGACAAAGTGAGACGACAGGAGATGGTGGTGGGAAGTGAGGGCACAAAGGATGTGAATGTGGACAAGAGGGGCATGGTGAGTGGGTGGGCATCCGACACGAAGGCACACTGTTTCCTCCTGCAACGTGACAAAGCTAAGGGCAGGGATCAGATGTTTAGGACATCCTGGGGGTAGGGGCTCACCAGGGTCTGATTGGCAGAGAGAAGAGTGGCTCCACTATCATCCCCTCGAATGGGCAGCAAGGGCATAGTGCCAAACTTCTGACGAGCAAGATCAGAGGAGGAACGACGACGTAAAACCACTGACTGCTGGTCATCGTGCTGAGGAGACAGTGAGGGTTGGCACTAGTGGATCTGGGAGGCACTGGGAGGTATGGCTGGTCCCCAGAGTACCAGAAGCCCAGCCTTCAGCCTCTTCCTTCTCCTCACCTGGGCTTTAAGAATGCTTGTGGTCCAGTCCCACATCTCATCTTCATCAGTGCAGGACAGACAGCTGTGGATGAACAGAGTGATTCAAGAAATGTAAGGGGTCCTAGCACTAAGCATGGAGGAATGGAGGGGGGCAGTGGAGGAAAGAGGAGAGGGCAGGACGAGGAAGAGATCTCAATTGACATAAAGTTCTTGCCATGCAAGCATAGGGACTGGAGTTGGACCCCCAGCATCCATGTCAAAAAAGGAGGGGGTTAGAGAGATGGCTCAGTGGTTAAGAGTACTTGCTGCTCTTCCAGAGGACCTGGGTTCAACTCTAAGCACCCATGTGGTGGCTCACAACCATCTGTTATCACAGTTGCAGGGGGTCTGATATGTTCCTCTGGCCTCCGTGGACCCCAGACACGCACATGGTGCACAGATATAAATTCAGGCAAACTAACCCAATACACTAAGTTTTCTTGATTAAACAGAAAAGAAAAGGCCAGGCATTGGTAATGCACACCTTTAATCCCAGCACTTGGGAGGCAGAGGCAGGTGGATCTCTGTGAGTTGGAGGCCAGCCTGGTCTACAGAGGGAGTTCTAGGACAGGCTCCAAAGAAACACAGAGAAACCCTGTCTCCAAAAACAAAAAACAAAAAAAAAGAACGAAAGAAAAGAAAAGCTGATGATGGGATAGTGGCTAGTGCCTGTTATCCCAGAGCTGGGGAGTTGGAGACAGGCAGCCTTCTGGGGCTTCCAGCCTAGCCAAACTGGCAAGCCTCAGGTCCTAGTGAAAGACACCTGAAGTTGACCTCTGACCTCTGCACACATGAACATACACATACACACACACACACACTCGTGTGCATGCATGGACAGGAAACAGGGTGGAATCGGAAAAGAAGCTATTGAGCTAGGAGGTACTCACAGGTGCATCTTATCCAGTATCAAAGTGAAGCCCCACCTGAAAGGCAACGGGGACCAGTGATAGGGTAACCAAAAGCCAGAGAGGCGATGGCAGGGAATCCCTAAATCAGAGCTAGGAAGGATCACTCACGGTGTTGGAGGTTTTAACTTCTTACGGATTCCCAAGTAGACCTTGGCCCCTTCCAGAGACCACTCCCGTTCTGGTTTAGAGCTCTGAGAACATAAACAGAGGCGGTAAGATTGAGAGGTACAAGAACACCATGGTTAGGAAGAAGTCGTGGGTGCATTAGGACATGTGATCATGGAGTCAGAAAGGTCAAGGTCAAAGGAGCAATGAGATTGGTGAGGATAGGGGCTTTGGAGTCAGAGGGTGGTACCGTTAGAGCCCCATTAGAGCCCCAGCTGCCTGACCATCCACCCGGCACCCCACCCTTCCAGCCTGGAGCATCACCTTCTTCTCTTTGAGCAACAGAAGGCAGCGACCACGAACCAAAAAGAACCTCTCCTGGAAGCGGCTCCCCAACAAGCGAGGTGGCTCCTCACGACACCGTAGCAGCCCCACCCGAGGGCTCTCACGACGGACTCCTGGGCACAGAAGAGTAATGCTGAGTGGAGGCTCCTTCTAGAGAAATCTGAGGAATTCTGGGCTGAGGCAGGAGGCTCACCTGTGAAAAGGCAGCCAGCGTGTGCCATGGAGACTTTTCTCAGGAGCAGAGAGGCTGAGCAGGGCTCTGGGAGCTGGCACCACTGCAGGGCCTGCTCTAGGACCTTTTCTTTGGGGTGCAGGGGCCTCTCTGAAGGAAAATATTGAGGTAGGCAGTAATCACAAAAAAACTAGCCAAAGCCTGGAGCCTCCACCTTATCTCCCACTAGTTATTCATCCGTTCGTCCACTTATCTAACCTCGGACATTTATTTTAACCCTGACACTGCACCAGGTACCATGCGGATCCTAGGATACATATGAGAATGATACATATGGCCCACTCAAAAAATTTAAAAAAATATTTTCAGCGTGTGTGTGTGTGTGTGTGTGTGTGTGTGTGTGTGAGAGAGAGAGAGAGAGAGAGAGAGAGAGAGAGAGAGAGAGAACATGTGTGTTTCTGAAAACTAGAGTTAGAGGCAGTTGTAAGCTACCCAGTGTAGATACTTGGAACCAACTTGTGGTCCTGTGTGGCACTCTCAACCATCAAGCCATTCCTCCAGCCCCCAGTAATCACTTTGAAATAAACAATATTTAAGAGACACACAGAGAAAACAGAGGGAAAGCAGGTGAGCAAGTGAGGTAAGGCCTGTTAGAAGTTGCATTTGTAGATGAGGCTCATCAATCTATGAACGATTGGTCATTAATCTTAAAAAGATTAAACAAAGCAAACTGTATCTAAGAACATGAATGATCTTTTTCATTTATTTCTTTGATTTGGGTTTGGGACATTTCTTTGTCTTGAAACAATGTCTCACTATGTAGCCCCATCTGGCCTGGAAGCTATATAGAACAGGTCCTCCAATTGCCTCTGCTAGGATTATAGGTGTGCACCACCATAGATAGCTTCAGGTAGGATCTTATAGGATGAAATGTAAGAACAAATGTCAAAAGTCAAGAAATTCTCCTTGGGGGAACAGAACAGCCAGTGTGGCCAGATTAGGAATATATGTAACTCAGTGGTGCATGCTTGCCTTCCATTCTCAAATACCTATGTTCAACCCTCGCTCAGCGTGGTAGACAGAGGACACACCAAGCTCTGGCAAAGAGACAGATTAGAGAATGGCTGATGTGAGATGATGTCTGACAAATAAGCAACAGCCATACATCCGAGGGTCTACAGGCCATGGTAAGGACTTTGAGTTTTATTCCGAACTCATTAGGAACCCATCAGAAGGTTTTAGCCATAGGAATAGTGTGATCTTGTTTAGACTTCAAATGTTCATTTGGTCGCTCTTCAGAAAATAGATTATAGAGAGGCAAAAACAGAACACTGTCCAGCTTTCCCAGTCCAGAACCATGCATTTCTTTTGGTGGGTCATACTGGGAGACAGAAAGATAATGGTGACTGTGATTAGGGTGGTGGAAACAACAAAGATAGAGAAACGTGATATACTTGAATGCAATCAATAGGACTAATTAATTGTTGGGTTGAGTATGAAAACGAAGAGGGGTGGGCATAGGACACTTAGACTTCTGGACTTGATAACTGAGTTAAATGATGTACTATTTGCTGAAAAGGAAAAATCAGAAAATTGTGTGGGCTTTATGTTGGAGGAAGGGCCAAGGAAGAGAGGAAATGTCTCTTAGTCGCTGAAATGCCTATGGGAAGTGGAGGTATCCAGTAGGCAACTGCATACGTAAGTCTGTAGTGCAGAGGAGCGATCTAAACCAGAGATAAAAATGTGGAATGTCAGCCAGGCACGCTCCTGTGAATCTGTCATTCCAGCACTTGTGGGAAAGAAGCAAGAGAATTTCCATATTTTCAAGGCCAACCTGATCTACATAGTGAGTTTCCAGCCCTCTCAAATTAATTTGGGTGTCAGTCAATGGTATTTAATGCCACGGGGAAGAATGTAGGTAGAAAAGAAGGAATGGCCCAGTATTGACTCCTGGCCCTTCTAACACTTCACTCAGGGCAAAGGAGGAAAAGGAACTTCCTCTGAGATAGAGGGGAAACCTTTGCTGAAGCCAAGAGAAGAGATTGAGGAAAGGAAGCACCCACGTGAACACCTTCTCACGTGGAAGGGTTGACTAGTAAGATGGCCATTACATTTAGCAACAGAGAAGTCATTGGTGAACTTGGTCATGTGTCCACACACAAAAATGTGTGATCGTGCTCACCAAGCTCTCCGTGTTCAAGAATTTCAAATGTCACCCACAAGTCTGTCCCTGATGTTGTCCCTCGCATCTCCAGCACCTGATTAGTCAGCTCCTCAGCAGTCAGTGTTGGGGACACCTAGCAGACAGACAAGAGAGCCCACGCTGATTAGACAACTGCACCTGCCCCTCTTCATTCTCCCCTCCCTTCCAATCCCTAAAGACTGACCTTTAGGGTGACACAATTATCTGGGAGCTGCTGTTCTATATAAACCTCCATGATGAGGTCTCCAGCCTGAGACAACTGAGCAGGGGAATAAAGGAAAACAGAGAAGTTACAAGAATACCAGATGGAAGAGTGCTTTCCTATGTTGCTCCTTCCGGCTTTCACTCCCAGCATGCCTTGGGCCTTTGATTAGCACTCTAGGATTGGGGGAACTATGTGTTTAGCCACATATGGTGTTACCTCAGGCTATGTGATATAGTGACTTCAAGAAGAGGTTTGCAGCCAAGACTGCTTAGGTTCCTTCTCTGCCATTCACCTACTATGACCTTGAAGAAGTGGCTCAAGAGCCTCAATTCTTTATTTGAAACAAACAAAAATAAAAGAGACTACCTACTTAATGGAATTGTGTGGTGCTAAAATGAGATTAGATATGCCTGGAACATAGGATGTCCTCAGCAGTATTTGCTATTGTAGTTTAAACAATATTCTTCCTGTCCCACCCTAAATCTCCCAAGATCTCACGATGGCCTTAAACTCTGAAACAGGTCTCATAGAGGCCCAGGCTGGGCCTGCTTGCTGTGTAGCTGAGGGTGAACTTAAACTTTTGATTTTCCTGATTCTACCTTCTGAGTTTTGGGATTACAGGCATGTGCCACCTGTTAGAATAAAGTGTGTGGTGAACTTTGGGGGATTCCATGGCAGGCAGACAGAGGCAGAGGGACAAACATGCCAGGCAGACAGAGCTTAAGTGAGAAGTTTATTAGAAAGGAAAGGTGGGGGAGGGAAGAGAGAAGAGAGGTAAAGAGACACAGAGACAGAGAGAGGACAGAAAAGAAGAGGGAGACAGGAAAAGTCCTGTCTGCCCCAAGGGAACAACAGGAAAGAGAAAGGGAAAGAAAAGAGAGGAAAAAGAGAGCAGAAAGAGAAGAAAGCATAAGTGGGCGGGGCCTGTCTTGTAAAGGGGTCCTTTGCACCTTCGTGCAGACTATACAATCATGGAGCCCTGGACTGACCAGGGTACTGCCTGAGTGCATTCTGCCAGGTGACAGGGGCAGGCCAGCATAATGCCTGAATCCTTACAACGCCACCATGCCAAGTCTTTTGTATGGTGCTGGGGATCCAACAGAGGGCTTCATGCATGCTAGGAAAGCATGTCATCTAAGCTATGTTCCCATCCCTGGCCTGCAGGTATCTATGTGGCTGAACTCTTGATCCTCCAGCCTCCACAACGCAAGTGCTAAGACTACAAGCATGGAGTACCACACTTAAAAGGGGGGTGCTGGGGTGTATTTCAGTGAGAGAATGCTTGCCTAGGCTATGTGAGGCCCTTGGTTTTAATACTCAGTATCACGGAGAGGGTGAGGTACTGAAGAATTCTCATGGTGACATAAATGGAAGAAACACACTACCCAAAGCACTTCCCTCCTGGGGACTCCTGTCTACCGAAGAGCCAAGGGTCAGTGTGACAAAGACAGGCTGAAAGGAAGCTTTCTTCAGAGACCAGAGGCTCATTTCCTATGATACTGTCCGTTCTGCCCTACTCAGCAGTCTAAAGCAGGGCAGGTTACCTGCACATCCTTCCAGGTGGTGATGAGGCTGACCTCCAAGTCAATCTGAGCTGCCTGGTCAGAGTCAATCTGCAAAAGGGACAAAAGTTATCTCAGAGGCTGCTAGGAAAGGAAGGAAGTGGAGCACACATCAAGGTCAAAGGGGAACTGGAGGCCTGAAGAGCCAGCAATCAATGGTGAGGGGATGTTGGGTTCAAGTTGTGGAAAAGGAAGCCCAGTACTCTAGGAAGAGTTTGCCAATGCAGGGGCAGGCGAGGGTTTGGATTGAGTTCAGACTCTGAGTCCACAGGGGTAGGGCAGAGGGGTTGTATAGCAGGGTTAGGAAGGCCTTACATCAAAGACAGAGATGTAGCCATCGATGAGCTCCTGCAGTACCCGCACCTCATGCTCCCCACGCCCATCTGTCTGGAACACACTAGGTGCAAACAGCAGGGCCAGGTTTCGTGTGCACATCTGGTTTAGAGACGCACACTTCTGTACCCTGCAGAGAGAGGCACCAGAGTCAGGAGTCTAGCCCGTGCTCACCACTTCACCAACACATCCATGCATTTAGCAGACACTTACTGTCCCCTACTGTATGCTAGGGTCTAGTCTAAGTGGTGGGGATACGTCAGTGAGTAAGACAGCATGGGTCTTAAGGGACTTTGACTATCTCAGGGACATATCTCTGGTATGGATGGTCGTTACTGGAGCAGGTGTCCATAGTTTTTATGTAAAGGGCAGGAATTAATACTTTAAGCCCCCAGGCCATGTACTCTCTGATGTACCGTCTCAGTTGAGCTGCTGCTGCAAAAGAAGGCATGGGACTTAGAAATGAATGGCATGACTACACCTTACAGAGTTTTATTTGGAAACCCAGACAAGGGCCTGGATTTACTAATGGGCCTGTAGTTGGCAAACCTCTATAATATTGCCTAATCAATGCAGCATAGCCAGGGATTCACCCCACTTCACAAAACCTTTTCTCCTAACAGACTGGTAAGGGTAGGTATGCATCTTAATAATCTTTATTTCTTAGAGCCAATTCCTTACCTGTCATAGACTAATAAAGAAATAATAATTATGATTTCTAACCATTTCTGAAGTTTATGACATGCCATGTATAAGACTAAGAATTTCACGTGGATTATTTCATTTCTTTTTTCGATGACCTATTAGGTAGAAACGTCATTACAACACCTTCCTCTTAAAAACAAGCAGACTGAGGCTCAGAAAGAACAGATAACTGTGATGGTTTGAAAGAAAATGGCCGCCAAAGGGAATGGCACTATTAGGAGGTGTGGTCTTGTTGCTCAAGCCATGCCCAGTGAGGCAGACCTGTTGCCTGTGAGTCAATATGTAAGAACTCTCAGCTCCCTCTCCAGCACCATGTCTGCCTGCATGCTGCCTTGCTTCCCACCATGACAACAATGGGTTAAACCTCTGAACTGTAAGCAGACCATCACAATTAAATGTTTTTCTTTATAGGAATTGCCATGGTCATGGTGTCTTTTCAGAGCAATAGAAACCCTAAGACACCACTAACACATGGCTAGAATGGGAGAGCCTGATTAAAACCTAAGTCTACATAGTCCTTAAATCCATTCTCTGAACTTTAGCTGTTACTCTCGTGTGACAGCTATTCGTGAAATTAATTAATAGGTGAAATGGTGGCATTGGTTTGAAGTGATGAAGGATTGGGAAAGGAAGCTGGGAGGGCCTGACCCTACTGACCGATAGAGATGCCCAATGAGAGTGGCCAGTGTTCGGCGGTTGACTCGAGGCAGGCAGCCAATCACTTCTTTGTATTTCTCCAAGCGCTGATTCTTCTGGGGAAGCTCTAGGGAGAAAAGAGAGGAAAGTTGGAGAGGAACCAGGAAGAGAGGATTTAGGCTGAGGGCAGAGCTCCTCTGAGAAACAAACCCTGCCTCCTTCCTCACTGTGTTGGTTAGTTTTTGCCAAGTTGACACAAAACTAGAGTCACCAGGGAAGAGAGAACCTCAGCTGAGGAACTGTCTCCATCAGATAGGCCTCTGGGCGGGGGGGGGGGGGCTTTTTTCTTGATTAATGATTGATGTGGGAGGACCAAGTGCACTATGGGTGGTGCCATCCACAGACAGGTGTCAGAAAGAAGGTTGACCAGGCCATGGGGAGCAAGCCAGTAAGCTGTTTTCCTCCATGGTTTCTGCTTGAGTTTCCACCCTGGTTTTTCTCAGCAATGATGGATTGTGATGCAGAAATGTTAAAACAAATAAATGCTTTCCTCCCCAAGCTGCTTTCTGTCATGACGTTTATCACATCATGAGAAAGCACACTAGGGCATTCCCCAAGCCAAGAGTCTGCATGATCACCCAGGGAGGACAATGTTGAGGAGGGGGCTCATGAGAGCACTGTGGATGATGGAAAAAGATGGAGATCCTGGTTGAGTCTTGGAAGTACCTGCAGCCTCCCTCCAGCGAGGCAGCAACCTAGCAGAGGTCACAGGGTCATCAAGCTCTCGAAAGAAGCGTTTGAGTGTGTCAGTAACGTCTTCTACAAAGTGTTCCCGTGGTCGGAGCTTCACTGACCGGGCATCCCGCCTAAACTCAGCCAAGAGTCGCAGGCTACGGGCCCGAGCACCCCCTTTCCGATATACACCTTCCAGACGGAGCCCTGAAAGCAGCCAGAAGTCTCTGTTCGATATTGTGTGAAGACAGAACCCCACCCACCCAGCAATCCCTCTATGACCCTCCCCATGCTATGCTAATGCTTGATCTCAGCTACTTGCTAGACCAGTCTTGGTTCTCAACTCCCTACTGGGAAGTCCTTCCTTGACCCCCACCGTCATGCGTGGCATAACCATTGTGCTGTAACTCCCACTTTTAATTTTATGAGGTACTTTCTGAAATCACACTATGGTTGCCCTTCATTGTCCACACACTCTAAAAGTAAGCATTCACCTGATCAACAGAATTTATTTGTAACCCTAATATCAGTAAATAATCGTTTAGGATCCATGGGGGATTGGATCCAGCAGCCCTCCCCTCAAATGACAAAAATCTATGGATTCAGAGCTGGAGAGATGGCTCAGCAGTTAAGAGCACTGGCTGCTCTTCCAGAGGACACAGGTTCAATTCTTAGCACTCACATGGCAGCTCACAACTGTCTGTAGCTCCAGTTACAGGAGATCCAACACCTTTACACAGACATACATGTAGGCAAGACACCAATGTACATTAAATAAATAATAAAGAAAATCTATGAACACTTAAGTTTCTTATATAAAGTGGTGCATTTACACATAACCCTATGTATATCATCTCTGAATTACTTGTAATACCTAATACTATGTAAAGAATTACAAAAACAAAAAGACCAGTGTACACAGTCACTACAATGTCTTTCAGATTTCCTGTGTTTAGTTGGCTGATACAGATGTAGACACTGTGGCTATAGAGAGTTGTGTGTACTTCAGGTTAACTTGTAACATATACAGAGTAAAGAAAGAAGTCAATTCTCTGCATGCTCCTAGCTAAGGCCTCAAGTTATAAATAAGCATCCTTTTTTTTTTTTTTTTTTTTTTTTTTTTTCTTTTTTGAGGAACTAGGGATAGAAACCAGGGCCTTACACGTGCTAGGCAAATACTCTGCCACGAGCCCCGGCCACATCCCTTTTATGAAACATTTAGTTGTGTGTTCCTTCTCTTTCTATTGGTGATATTGCTGTTTAAAAATGCCCCTTCCACAGTATGTAGAATGTTCAAGTGCTGGGTGGTGTTGCAAAGCATGAGAATCTTGTATGTGCCTTACAGAGAACATTAAATAAGCTTCATTCAGGTATAAGTTTGTGCTGATCTTGACCTTGAATTGAGTGTCAATGAACCAACCATATATATTAAATAAACTGCCTTTACATGACAAAATGTAATAAACAAGGTTTTTTTTTGGGGGGGTGGTTGGTTGATAAAAATCTTGTGCACAGATATGCGGAGGGCTCTCATCCTGCCTCTCCCTTGGGACTGAGATTAAGTGTTCAAGTTAATTAAGTGTTTGCAGTGGCTTTGTAGAACATAACTCCTGCAAATAACAAGAGCTGATGGTGTTTGTTTTCTTAATACTCATCTTCCCCAGTAGACTTTAAGCCTTGTTCCCCAAACTTCCTCACTGACAGTCATATGGTAGCACCCGAACCAATATCTGTCAAGTGAGTGTGGCGATGCAAAGACCTTGGAGGGAAAAGTATGTCCACTCCGGGGCCCTCTCTTATATAAATACTAGTGAAGCTTTAAAAAAACAAAACAAAAACAAAAACAAAAGAGCCAGAAGACTGCTGGTGAGCGTGAGATTACTGGATGGGGTTACTGCCAAAGTAGGGAGAATGTTATTAGCCCCTGACTATCCATTGCCCATGAGTTACGGTAAAATGCAACTCTTCGTATGACCATAAAGATGCCTCCCCGCCCCCCTTCAATGCTGAGGATTAAACCCAGGGCTTTTTCCATGCCAGATAAGAACCTTATCCATAATCAATACCTCCAGCCCTTTTTGTAGTTTTTATTTTGGGATAAGCTTTCCCTAAGTTGTTTGTGCTGCTCTTGAACTTGCTTCATAACTGAATGCCTTGAACTTAGAATCTTTCGGCCTCAAATTACTGAATAGTTGTAATTACAGGTCTGTGCCAGTAGGCCCAGATGTTTTGTTTGGTTCTGTCCTTGGTTTTGGTGCTGGGACCTGTACCTCCTTGGTTTCCTATGAATTTTTCTTTTTCAATATGCAGCCTCCTAAACAGAGTTCATATGGAATGTAGATTGATTGGGCCAGACTCCACAAAGACCCAGAGTCCTGGACACTCTCTCTCCCATGCAATCATTCTGTTTAGACCATCAAGGATTTTGTCCTGCCCAGTTTAGAGATTCCCTCATAGGTGCCTCCACTCAATCCACTACGTCTCTGCCTGCCAGGCCCTGTACTCATTGCTTGACATTCACCATCTCTCTGTCAGTGAAGACAGTCGGTTCCATTTTACAGATGAGGTAACCAAGGCTCAAAGAGTTACATGGCTAGCTGGTGTCATGTTTTAGGTAATGCGCGCGCGCACACGCACACACACACACACACACACACGCACGCACGCACGCACGCACGCACGCACGAAGGCGCGCACGCACGCACCCTGGCTTCTTCAACCCCTCCCACTGGTGCATTGTTGACCAGTGCCCACTCACCATGCTGTGTGACAAAACTGATGCAAGAGTCCACAATGATAGGGATGTCACCCCGGCTCATCTGCTGCTCCTGCAGCCCTGTGCCACCCCCTCCAGCAGCACCCCCAATGGCTGTGTTCCATGCTGCAAAGTCTAGCCGACCTTCCCCCTGCAGATACAGGGTCCTGAGACCCAAGAAGCATGAGTTAGAGCCAGCTCCAGAGATCACAGACAGAAGCTGCGGAGCACACGGAGCTGAATTCCCAGAGCTACCAGCAGGGGGCAACAACACCAAGCCCAGATAGTTCTTAAACAGGGGAAGCAACTTTGAGGAAGCAGGAAGGAAGGGCTGAGAGGAAGCTGGGTTCAAAGGGTCACAGATAAGTAGAACATTACCTTCCTGTCTCTACCAGGACCAAATGCTCCTTTTTATCTGGAGTTTCAGCTGCAGAAACCACACCTATAGAAGAATCCTTAAACATTATCATCAAGGTCATCATAGTGAAGACTTATAGGTAGTTAAGGTATGTAGGCGCCAGATTAGCAAGCAGCCTTACAAACAATGCTCCACTACACGCTACTACACCGTGTTACATATGAGTGCTCAGATGTTAAATAATTTGTCTTACATTGTTTGCTAAAAAAAAAAAAAAAAAAAGTCAAAGCTGAGCTAAAACCCAGGTCTCTTGTTCCCAGAGTCCTACTGCATTATTCTAGCATGTTCCTCTTTCAGAAGACAACAGTGAAGATGCATAGTCCTTCATCCTAGTCCCCAACCAGCAAATAATACTTATTGAGTACTTACAAGTTGCCTCCTGCTGGGTTCTATAATAAAAGGTTTTATATATTTCCTTAGTTGAACCTCTCTCTAGCCCTTGGAAGAAAAGTCTTTCTATTGTCCATTTTAAGATTAGGAAACCAAGGCATGGAAAAGTTGGGTAACTCCCCCAATGCACAAGCTAGGAATTGGTAGGCATGGGGTCTAAATCTAGATAGTTTGACTTCAGAACTATCTGAGCTATTGCATTCTGCTCTTTCCCATACGAATCCCCAAATAAAAAGGTCCAGTCTCAAACTCGCCCATGGCCACCCTTTAGCCCTGTCCACACCCCTGCTCACTGATCTCCTGTAGACGCCGCAAATGCACCATGTCCTCAGGGGCTGGGGGACCAGGGCCTGGCGCTGGACACAGGAAGAGGTGGTCACCACGAAGGAGGCCGAACCCCGATAACCAGAGTCCAGGGGCCGGGCCTGCATGGGAGGGGGACCGTAGCCACAGGCGTCCCATCCGCAGCAACCCAGGACCCAGCAGTTGGTGACAGCTGAGCGGGGCAAACCACTGTGGAGGCAGAAGGTGGACAGGAGTGGGAAGAGAAAGTAGAGAAAAGACAAGAGGTTGGGGGAGCAGAGATCTGTCTGCTCCTGCCTCCCAAGTGCTGGGATTAAAGGCGTGTGCCACCAACGCCCGGCTAGGACTGAGTTTCAATTCGCCCACATGGTGGCTCCCAACCATCCTCAACTCCAGTTCCAGGGGGTCTGATTCCCTATTCTGACCTCTGTGGGCACTGTGCATGCACACTGTATACATACATATACACATTTATTCATATATATATATATATTCAAATAAATGTAAAAACTATTTTAAAAAAAGAATGGAAAGCTGGGCGGCGATCGCACATGCCTTTAATCTCAGCACTTGGGAGGCAGAGGCAGGTGAGCTGGAGGCCAGCCTGCTCTACAGAGCAAGTTTCAGGACAGGCTCCAAAGCAATACAGAGAAGCACTGTTTTAACTTGTATAATTAGATTCAACAAATAAAATCATTCTGCCAAACTGCTATGAAAGATTCACAATCTTCCTCCTGAGTTCTGTGCACACTCTGTCATGGATTGGAACAAATGATCAGGAGACCATGGCATGGAGAGTGGAAAGTCAGCTGCCACAGAGATGATATGGGGAGGTGGCAAGTGACATTCAGGGTAGAAGCTTTGGCGAGTCTAGGCAGAGAAAAGCAGCCATAAGGGGCTAAGGAGGAACAGCGGGCTGCACACAACTTTCTGAGAAGTAGTCAAGAGTTGGAAGGAAGGCACGAGGGTGAAAAGTTGAAGGTGAACAGAACTCAGGAAAAGCTGTTTTAGGGTGGGAGAGATTGTCGTCATCAGCAGCATCACCACCACCATTATTTCAACGCCCACAGTTAGACGCTTACTGTGTGTGGGCCTCACGTGTCACTTAATCCTCATCCCTGGGGTGAATCGTTACACCCACTCTGCAGACACAGAAGAGCTCCTGGGGCTAAGTTGTAGGACTCAGATCTCAGGATGTCTGGCTCTGAGCCTAAACTTTTTACTTCCAGGAAAGGAGGCTAAGACACAGAGACTGACAATTTATGAAAGTAGCTTACAGCTGGCCATGATGGCGCATTCCAGCTCAGGAGGCAGGGGCAGGATTGCTTAAGGTCTAAGGTCAGGCTGATCTACAGGCAAGTTCCATGTTAACCAGGGGTACATTGCAAGACCCTGTTTCATTAAAGAAAAAAAAAAAAAGGAGCTTTTGCCGGTTGGAAAACTTGGGGGCAGGAGGATGGTAGTAAGAGTGAGGGGCAGCTGCCCTGTGGGAAGAAGCCAAAACACAGGGAGGTTGGGCCATGAGCTCCAGAGACGTGGGCTTTAATTTTAGTTCTGTGCTTCCTAGCTCTGTGTCCTTGACCAAAAGAATTCCTAACCTCTAACACTGTGTTTCCTGCCAGGGCATTGGTGGTGCACTTGGGAGGCACTCCAGCACTTGGGAGGCAGAGGCAGGCCGATCTCTGTGAGTTTGAGGCCAGCCTGGTCTGCAAATTGAGTTCTAGGACAGGTTCCAAAGCTACAAGAAACCATGTCTTGAAAAAACAATACAGATAAACAAACAAATAAACAAAAGACTGTGTTTCCTTCCATAAAATATATTATTGGAAATACCACCAAAGGTTGTTGTAAAAATTAAATGAGATATTGCGTGGGCACTTCTGAAAACACAGGGTGTGGCACAGAATGAGCCACTTTGCCTATTAGAAAAGAACAGTGTGTGGGGGGGTGTGGAGATGGGGTGGTTGTGAGATGTTGGAGAGGACTCTTGCCTCCTCACCTTGCCCACTGCACTGACCCAGGCCTCCAGACTGTCCGATCCGTCTGTGGCAAAATGCTGGATTCGTCCCCCAGTGAGGATGAGTTCAAAGGAAAATGGAAACCTGCAGAGAAGATGAGGTCAGGAGGACAGCAGGAGACAACGAGGTGCTCCCAGGCTGGGCTTGGGTAAAAGCAGGGGGTGGAGGGCCGAGTGTCACCTGTCAAGGTCACCTGGATCAGCAGGTGGGGGGCTTACACCCAGACATACAACATCCTGGGGCTGGAGAAGGCTGAGGGGTTCGGGGCTGTTCTCTGATGCAAACATTTCCAGGGCAGCTCCCAGCACACACCACAGGCGGGGAGGAGCTAAGTGGAAGAGAGACGGAGGAGCTGTCGTCCTACCCATCGTCACAGTCTCCATTCCCACATACTCATTTCACGTCAAGCCTTCTTCCAATGGTTGGTACTACAGAGTCGTCACAGTCACCCTAGCAAGTGCGTTTATATTTATACTGTTCTGCAAATGGGAAAACTGAGGCTTGCCGTCTGTGCAGTGTGCCTGAGTCACTCAAGCAGGAAAGAGCAGAGTGGATACTTGACCCAAGATAGTGTGACTTCAGAGAAGAGTCTCTTAACTATCACCCAGTGCTGTGACCTGACCTGGTCCCTCTCTCACCCCCAGCATCCCAGCCCACTCCAGGGCACTTTCCTATCCCAGCTTTGTCCTTCTGTCTCTCTGCAGCACATTTACCCCAACCCACTCTCTATCCCTGTCTCTTTCCATCCTCTGGCTCCTGCTCACCATCCCTGCCCCTGCGCAGGGGTGGGGCTCCAGCTTTGTTGCTGATGGGACCACAGTACAGGAAACTTCTGTAAGTGGCAGGCACTACCACCTCATTGTATACTCCAGGAGAAGAGTCTGCAAGAGGAAGATGTGGCCAGGTGAGGACAGGGCAGGGTTGGCATGGTCCCTTTGGAGAATGCAGCCAACTGGACCAGACCATGGGACCCAACTCCACTAACAGCATGGAGTTCAGCCCAGTGGGAGTGAGTCCCTCACTACCGAGATTGGAAGGGTGTGACAGGGAACAAGGACATAGAGAGGCCTCTAGCCTAGTATTTGACTACTTTCCCCACAGCCACCCAACCAGGCAGGCAGTTCTACGTGGGCACTTCAGAGTATGGCTATTTTTCAAGTGTCTTAGCCTGTCAAATGTAAGCCAAAAATCATTAAATCAACTCCTTGTTCTAGCAAGAAGAATGTCCCCGGGAAGATGAGACCTGCCTGGCAGGTTGATGCTGTCAAGATAGCAGGGTACTAACACCTGGGTACATCCTGACTACTATAGGCAGTGACCTCAGGCTCTCATTAGTCATCCCTTGACCTCAGGAAGTTTGGGAGGTTGGGAAACTGCCAAATCTGCCATTGAGATAGATAGGGGGATGAGGTAATGCCCGCCCCCCCCCCGCCCTGAAAGAAACAAGTCACAGGTTGGGTGTGAGGACTCCTAGGGAGACAGGTGAGTTACTTGAGAGGATGACCTGATGGTAGAAGACTATACAAGTTGCCATTGAGGGCTGAAGGTGACCAGGGCTCCTCTCCCTCAGTGGCTTCTACACAGAGGAGCTGGGTCATGTTCTTTAGCAAATTGGGTCCTGCCATAGCTGTACACAGTGCCTACAGGGAAGGAAGGGTCTCTGTCAGCCTCATACACAATCCAAGAGCTCTTCCAGAAACTGTCTTTTATCAGCAAAAGCAATCTTCATCACCCAGGTCTAGGCATTCCCATACAGATTCCACCCCCTCCCCCAACACCAACTTGACCCTCTTACCTGAAGAAGCTGGCTATGATCTGGATGCTGAGGATGGGGCTTCCGGAAGAGACCCAGCTTATACTTTCGGGAGATGAACTCTCCCCGAGGGCCAGGGGCTGAATCTGGATGCAGCCCTTCACCTGGAGGTAGTGCCCCTGCCCAGAAGCTGTTGGCACGATCGTTTCCCAGGACAATGAACAACTACAGGATGACAAGAGGCAGAGATGAGCGACCAGAACTCAAAAGTCTCCAAACAGCCTCGTTTGAACCGGAAGTCTGCTTTTGGATGCTCCCTTTTTTCTGTCCGTTCCTGGACTCTTTCCTCACCTGAACTATCTCATTACTCCAAACACTCGTGTCCAGTTTCAGGCTCTGCACCTTGGAGATCCCAGAGCCCAGGGCCCGGTGCTGACCTGCGAGTATGTGAAAGCCATGTGGTAGAGTATTGAGAGCCCTGCCGGAGTCCCCCTGACCCAGTCCCTTCTCCCGACTTGTGCTTGAGGCCCTCTTACCTGCACACTGCTTGCAGATCACTACCCCCAGGTTGACGGCAGCCCAATCCGGGCGGGAGGCCCCGCAGTCTGCACAGTGTCGGTTTGCCCGATTTGACCAGACCTTCTCAGCCACCTCGTAGTCAGACAGGGTCTCGGTTACTGCTTCTTGTAGAGCGGCCGCCCAGCTCTGTCGAGCCCCCCCAGACTCGGCTGTGAAGCTGAGGGGTGGACAGCCAGTCCATGGGCATGGACCTCCCTCCACATCCTATCCCAATGGTTATTCCTACCAGAGCCACTAGAGGCCACTTCTGGGACAGAAATATTCTTTTTTTACTTAATTTTTGCCAGGGTCTATCCAAGGTTAGCCTCAAACTTATTTTATGATCGAAGATGACTTTGGACTTCTGGTCCTCTGGCTCTGAGGGCTGGGCTTAGAGGCATGTACTACCATACCTGATTTATGCTGTGCCAGGGACCAGACTCGGGGTTTTGTGCATGTTAGACCAACAACTCGAGCATTGAGCTACATCCCCATCTTCCTTTCCTGACATCTGGGCCCTGCTCACTAACTCTCATCACCTCATCGTTTATGGCCATTGACATCTTTTGAGGAGGCTCCAACCCTCTGCACCTTTGTGATCTCCCTCTAAAAGAGCCTAGCTTGCCTTCCCCCGGTCTAGGCCCCACCTGAAGCAACGATGGGGTGTGAGCAGGTCGAAGCTTCGACTCTTGGTCTCTCGGACACTGCAGCCTTGCAGTTCAATGAAGCAGATCCCAATGCCCAGAGAGAAGGCCTAACAGGGTCAGGGGCACACAACACCATTAGGTTCCAGAATGAACTAGTCAGGTCCATCGGCTCCTGCCCAGCCCTCTTTACCTGCTCACTCTTGTACAATGCCAACTCTCCAGGGATCAAGGCAGCAAACACCTTAGCCTTGTGTCCACGCAACTCCAACATGCCAGTACGGAGGGGTCGTGGTGGGTGAGGGGGGCGGGGGTGGCCCAGGAGGCGCTGCTCCTTTAGGCAGGATTGCAGTGTGGAACACCATATGTCACGTTGAGCTGGTGGGAACCGGGGAGGGGGACAGGGAAGCAGGTCAATGGGATGTGTGCTGACCTAGCCTCCCTCCTACCCTAACCCAGTGGGCTCTGGCTCTCTTACCCTCACTCTCTGTGCGGAACACAAATACTCTCTGGCCTGTGATAACCTGGAATTTGTTGTCCTTGCTGCTTCGGGTCATCTCGATGGCAGTCAGAGGGATCACACCTTTGGGGAAGGGGTCCTGGAGAGAAAGCCCAGCGATCCAGGGGGACAGGAACTGAGCTACATGAACTGAACCTTCGTGAGATCAACATTCAATCCACCTGGTTACCGCTGCTGAGCCAGCAACCTCTGATGCTGACACTGAGCAGCTGTGGCCACCCTTTCACCATGGGCTTCCCACCCTTCCAGTCCTCAGCTTCTCTTAGCCTTCCCTAAGCTTCTATCACTGGCATCCATGTAGCAAGCAGCTCCAGTCCTCTACCTTGTCACTGCCGAAGTACATCAGACTCCTTCCGTTGAACTGCACAAAACGCCTCTGGAACACGTAATTTCTGAAGACAGAAGAGGCCGAGATCAGTTGAGTGTTTGGAAATGCACGCTGTGAGCGATCCCCTACCTCTCAGCCCTCATCCTGTCCCTTCCCTTCCCTTTCCTTCCCAGCAGCCCTACCCCTGAGGTGAGAGCTTGTCCAGCCAGCCGCTGAGCAGAGGCATTGGACGATCTGCTGTGGAGGAGAAGCTGGCATAGGGTGAAATGAGGTCATCACTGGCCTCTTCTGCATCCCTGGTGGGTATCGAAAGGATGGAGTCCCCAGGTAGCTCAAGGCTGGCATAGCCAGCATCCTCCCGTGTCTCCAGATCCTGCCTGCTGAGCATTGTGGGTGCAAGAGGGAAGAATGCAAGTCAAACCAGGGGCCCTTGACCATCTCTTGGCAAGTCCCCTACCCCTGCCCACAGCACCTACAGCATTTCTAGCAGGTGGGAGATCTGCTTTGTAAACAAACGGTGTAAAGAAGCTGGCAACCCAAAAGGTTGCCATGAAGCTTCCTCCTGAGTGCAGCTGGGAGGGAGATGTTAGTCTCTCTCCTCTGGAAGTGGGAAAGATGCACAAGTGCCACCCTGCCGTGGTTGTTCACAGCTCATCAACGTATGTTACGGCTGTTGTTTCTCCAAGCTGTTCTTGGCTTTTTCTACCCCTGAATTAGTTTCCATCAGTTCTCACAGGCATGAAGCAAGTCACCCAACTGGTCACCTACTTTCATTCTTGTCCTCCCTCCCACAACCTTCTCTCAACCCACTAGTGCTCTTTGAAAAATGCAAATGAGATCATTGCATTCCTCTGCATGAAACCGTTCGATAATGTCCCATTCATAGTTAAGATAAACTCGGGTTTCTATGCATGGGCTGCAAGAACTTGCAAAACGAAACCCCTGACTTCATCTGTCCTGCCTCGCCTTTGCTTGCTACAGTCCGGCCACACTCTTTCCACGCTTCAGGGCCTTTGCACATCTTCCTGCCTAGATCACATTTGCCGTACTTCCCTGAGCTTTCTCTCATCCTCCAGGTCTTTGCTTGTGCCATCTTCTTGCAGAGATAGATTTCTCTACCAATCCGATGGTTCTCGGCCTCAGCAGTACAAAGCTTGGGAAACTTTAAAAGATTATCAGTACATGGATTTTATTACAGACACTTAACAATTTCATCTCTGGGAGTTAGGCCCAGGCACCCATAGTTTTAAAAGTTCCCAGGCTATGGCACAACAAAGGTTGAGAACCACTACTCTACCTTGCTTGCTTCCTATTGCACTGAGAAACTGAAGCAATCAGACAAGAACCCCACAGACTCACAGCGCCACGTCAATCCAATTTCACACAGATACTCTGCCTGCCTCCTGTGACTGTAATAAACACCTGTCTAAAGCCACACCGTCCTCCATGCACTTGATCCACAGCTCCCCCCTCCAACAAGACATCACTGTGGATTTTCTCACCTTCCTTTCCACCAAACTGTTCTCATTCACGTACAGACACATACAACATTCCACATTAAAAAAAAAAAAACAAAACGGTTTTCTTCTCTTCACTTCCACCATTAACAGTCATTACAAATCTTTGCTCTTTGCAGAAAAGTGTAGTAATAATGTCTGTTGTTTCTAACCTTCTCTATTCTTCCTCATTTTATTTTACTTGGTCTTTTTGAGACAGGGTTTCTCTGTGTAACAGCTCTGGTTGTCCTGGAACTCACTCTGTAGAACAGGCTGGCCTTGAACTCAGAGATCTGCCTGACTCTGCCTCCCTAGTGCTGGGATTAAAGGCGTGCACCACCACCAGACAGCTTCTCTCTATTCTTTCTTAAATGCACTGGTCAGGCTCTCAGTCCTTCCACTCCTTGTCAGAGTCCCCAGTGGCCTCCATGATTCCAGAGGTCAATTCTCAGTCCCAGCTTACTAAGCAGCAGCCGACTTAGCAGTGGGACACAGATGGCCTCTCCCTCCTCCCCATGCCCTTCCTTTGGCTCCGATGACATCATCTCCTAGCTTTCCTTCTCCTTCTCTGGCTATTTCGGTTCAATCTGTTTAATGATTCTTCCTCTTCCCCAAGCCTCTGGATGTAGGAGGGCATTGAAACCCTGGACTGGGTCCCATCTCCACACTCCCTCTCAATACTGACAATATCCATACTGAAATCTCTGACTCAGATGGCTCACCCAAATGATAGACAAACATGGTCAGCAGTCTTATTTGTCATTGCCTCTTAGATGTACTAAATGCCTCAAATCCCATGTCTGAAGCAGAGTTCTCCTCCCTCTTGCTTGATACACAGTGTTCCTGTCTCAGACCACAACTCCATGAACTCTTAGGTGCTCAGAACCTCATTATCCAAAGGAAATCAACATGGACTACAACGTAAAAAAGAAAAGAAATATTGGGTTTGGGGAGATGGTTCAGCACAGTCAAGAGGACTGGCTGCTCTTGCAGAGGACCCAGGTTTGATCCCAGCGGCTACATGATGGCACACAACTATCCATAACACCAGTTTCAAGGGATCCAACATTCTCTTTTGGTCACTGAGAGCAACAGGCATGCAAGTGGTACACAAATATGCGTGCAGCCAAGCACAGATGTACATGCAACCAAAACACTCATACACATAAAGTAATTTTAAAAATGTTTTAAAAATATCTAATTTTAGTAGTCCATATTTTATATAACTCAAAACATAATATTTTAGTGTGCAATCAATGTAAACATCACTAAGGTAGAGGCTGGGGAGATGGTTCAGTGGATAAATGAACTTGACAACATGAGTTTCGATCCACAGTACACATGAAAAGCTAGGCACCATGCTGGATGTCTGTAGCCTAGCAATGAGGGGCAGGAGTAGGTAACTCCCCAGGACTCAACTGCTGGCCAGTCTAGCCATTTAACTCCAGGTTCAGTGAGAGACCCATCTCAAAAAAAAAACATGGACAACTGATATCATCCTCTGGCCTCCCTCCACATATGCATGCATGGGCAAGTGCACCTATGTACACATATATGTACACATAAACATATACCCCACATGCACTAAAAATTACTAAGACATTTCTTTTTGTATATGCTGTATTCATCTAGTACAATTTTTTGGCAGTAAGTTCTGACAGATGTCTTACATCTCTGGCTCTTCTCAATGCAGACCAGCATGTTTCATGTGCTCGGCAATCACACGTGGTTAGTGGTTGCCATACAGGACAGCAGAGGCTCATAATGAGTTAATACTTGACTGCTATCTTCCTCTCATATACCAATGTAGCATGACACTTTACCCTCAAAATGCAGCCACTTCTCATCAACTCCACTCCCATCACTGTACTCTGAGATCTCTCACCTAGATTACTGCAACAAAATAAATACTCATAATGGGCTCTGCCACTTCTGCCTCCACATCATTCCCAGCAAAGCAAACAGAGGTGTCCTGTCACAATCTAAGTCAAAACTCTCCAGTGGCTTCCCTTGTCACTATGTGTAACAGCGACCACCCTTTAGGTCCTACCCACAGGCCCCTTTACTTCTGCTATCACCCCTTCTCAGTCAGACCTATCTGACCCAACCATGGCACTGCCTTTCCGTGGCTGGCCACAGCACTTGCAGGGATCTGCCTGCTCATGCTTGTGACCCTAAGGTTGTAAATGTATGCTACTGCCTGACTTCTGCACAATAGTCCTGGAGATCTGAACTGGGTCCTCATGCTATGCACAAGCACTTTACCCACTGAGCAGTCACCTCAGCTCAGGGGATTTTTTTTAATGGTCCAACAACTCACTGAAAAGCTACAGTCCTTTCTAACTCCCTGACCCCCAAGTCTCTAAACCTGTTTTACACACACACACACACACACACACACACACACACACACACACACATTTGTTAGGTGGTTGTGATGCGAGCCTTTAATCCCAGCACTTAGAAGGTAGAGGCGGGAAGATGTCCAAGTTTGAGGCCAGCCTGGTGTAAGAGTGAGTTCCAGGACATTCAGGGATACACAGAGAAACCCTGTCTTGAACAACAAACAAAAAGCGTTTATCTATCTTCCTGTAAGAACACGATGACTCAATTGCTGGGAGCATTTACTGCTCTTCCAGGGAACCTGGGTTCAATTCCCAGTATTCACAGGGTGGCTCACAGCTGTCTATAACTCCAGTGTCAGGGGATCTGACACCCTTTTCTGGCCTCCCAGACACCAGGCATGCACATGCCACACAGACATATATGCAGGCAAAACACCTGCGTTAAATAAAAAATACACCTTAACAACAACAGAAACACTTTTAAAAAGGGAGTTCTGCATATAATACTGATCTCCCTAGGTGTCTTTATCTGACATGTAACAGTGCTCAGTGTTTGCTGAATGGGAGCGGTACTTTTGAATTTTAATTATGTATCTATTTGTGTATGTACCTCTCTCATGGTCTGTCTGCCCCTTTGATTCGCAAGCTGCCTGGGAGCAAAACTGAGTCAGTTGTATATGTCCTGCATCTTTAGTGCTTGATTGCCACCGAGAGAATGCTCAGTGCACATCTGATGAGTAACTGGACACGTGGCCTCCATGGCTAACTCAACTGCTCCTTGAGCTTCCTTCATCTTCCCACCCATGCCCCTCTGAGTACTCACCTGTGTTCAGCTCTATCCTGACAGACACCTCTGCCCTCTCTCCTGTCAGGGGCTCCTGGGACCCCCACAGGCTGGACACCATAGTACAGGCAACCAGGATCCATGATGTGCACTGTTACGGTGAGGAGAGGGGTTGTGAAAGGGAAGAGGGGGTTAAGTGAGGGTATCTGAGATGCAGGGGAGGCACAACTCCTCTCTAGCATCCTGCCTACCTGTGCCTATTGTGGGCCTGAAGGCAGGGGTTGGGGCAGTTGCCTGGGAACTGTCTGGAGTCCTGGAAAGAATTTCGTTGGTTATTAAGGGAAAAGGGCAGCCCCCATTCCCTGTTGATCTCTTCCTCTACTCAGGATCAAATTCCTAGGTAGCAAATCAACTCACATGTCCTGAGCTGCCTGGGCCCCACCTCTTAAGTCCAGGCCAAAGTAGATAGCATTGGGCATCATCTCCATGGTTTTCAGGACTGAAGGCTGTTCAGAGGAGGAAGGAAGGAGAGGAGAAGACCTCTGGCTGCACCCTGAGTCCCTGGATACTTCTGGATCCCAGAAGGTTGGGCTTAGTCCAGGCCTCTGGGCAGTGGCAGAGCCACTGAGCCCAAACACTGTCCTGGGCTTGGGCACAGGCTTGGGGGGTTGGTCATCCGGGGCTGGGCTTGGAGATGACTCCATGGTACTATCCACCTGGGAATCCAGAGAACCCTCAGAGCCTGCCTGCAACAGGCGCAGGATGCGTTTCCGGTGTCCAGTTGCACTGATGCCCAAATGCCTCAGCTCTTCGTGGCCTAGGCGTTGGGCTGCACCAGCTGTAGTTAGGCCATGCTGTCGGAAAGTGTCTGCATACTGCTCCAGATGCACCTCAGCCAACCACACAGCGATGTCCAGGTCCTGAGGGGCAGCCATGGGCTCTCAGGCCATTGCTGGGGGGAGGTGCAGGGTGAAGGGAGGGCTCAGGCTGAGATCCCCCCTCCCTCCCCCAATGTCTGAGACCTGGACGTGGGTCCCAGCCTCCAGTGTTCTTTCAAAGAAGAATGCCCAAAGGCTGTGATCTGGGGACAGAGCCATCTCAGGACATAGAACAGACTCTCCTTACAGGGATTGTAAGGAGACCCGTTCTCATAGTAAGTGGTGCTAGTGTTGGACCCCCAGTGCCTGCCTCAGAACTTTGTTCCTGCTTTCTGGGCACTCAGCTGAGTAAGCATAACAAGATGCTGGAGTACTGCAGGGCAGGGCATGGTGAGGGGGCGTAGAAGCAGAGGCCACTGAGGGGGCTAGAACCAGCTGCAGAGGGAGATAGGAGAGAGGACAGGCCAGAGAGGGAGAAGGAGAAATGGACTCCACTCACACTGGTTTCCAGAGCTGAGCTTCAGGGTGGACATCCTAATCCTGGTCATTCCCAGTTCCTCCTCCCCTTCCACCTATTGTCTCTCCTCAGACTTCCTTCCTGTCCCTCTAGCCTGGCCACCCCCACATCCTGCCTGCTGTGGTCAGGCTGCCCAGAGGGCCCCAACTAATCCCAGTGTGGGGTCCTGGCCCAGGCAGAGGCCACCTAGGAAACTGGTGGAGAACCTGGCTGTATAAGACCAAGGGGGAGAGGTAATCCAAGGTGTTCTTCGTTCTCATCCATGTATGTGTATGCACACGTGTGTGCACACACACACACACACACAGACACACAACTCTAACTCAGCAGTGTGAAAGCACATACACACATAGACTCAGCAGTGTGAAGACACACAGAGTCAGCAGTGTGAAACACACACACAGACACACAACTCTAACTCAGCAGTGTGAAAACACATACACACACAGACTCAACAGTGTGAAGACACGCAGACTCAGCAGTGTGAACACACACACAGAAACACCCAAACTAACTCAGCAGTGTGAGCTCTCTCCTTTATCTCCTCTCTCTCCCTCCCTCCCCCACCTCTCTCCAAAACTTTCTTTTCTGAGGTGCCTTTTTCCTACCCGTGTGATAGGGTCTCCACAGCCTTGCACCACTGGGCCAGCCTACCCTTAATCCTGCTCCATACCCTGGATCCATCTCAGATTCAGTTCCAAACTCATCCCAGAGTTTTAGGTTCTGTCCTATCCTTATCTCTACCTGGCTCTGCCTCCACCTACATCTCTCACAATTTAGCTTTGTACCCCTCCTCTGTATTTGCTCTGTATTATAAAGCTTGTCAGGCCCCAGTATTTTAACCATGTCTTAAGTTCTAATTGTGTGTCTGGCCACCTCTGATCCCCGCCTGGCCTCTGCTCTTTGGCCTTATTGCCGATGCTGCTCGCATCGCAGCTGCTGTCCTACTGGGTTCTGGTCCAGGGTCCCCGCTCCATCTTAGGCTCAGTTCTGGCCTTTCTATGCTTGGGTCCCATTCCCAGACCCAGCTGGGGTGTGGGGTGTTAAGCCTCGGGCCCTGAGTCAGATTCCACACTCTTAGTGACTCAGTCTGGGCTCAAGGGCATTTAGGCACTATCTGGGAGCCAGGAGGTGTTTGCGGGACGGAGGTGGCAGGTGCGGGCGTGTCCCGCGCGGCAGCGCGGGCTTGGAGGAGGGCAAGGAGGGAGGGAGCAGAGGCCTGGCAACAAGGAGGGGCGGGTCGCGGCAGGGAGGAAGGAGGAGAGGAGAAGGGAGGGGCTCTGAGGGGCTATGGGAGCCCACGGAGGTCCCGGAGGAGGTGATGGGGTGCAGTCCGAGAAGCTGGGCCCGAGGGATCGGGGTTCTCACCTCACTGTGGCCTCCGTCAGCTCCCGGGTGCCCGCCGCGCTGTCCGAGGCCGGGGGGTCCGGCCGCACCAGCACCGCCTCCCCGCAGCCCTCCCCCGACAGCCCAGCCCCGCCCCGACAGCTCGAGTGCTAGCTGCTCCTTGTGCAAGCACCCGCCTTCAGGTGGTTTGGGCCCCTTACCCAACCGCCTTGCTTATCAGGGGTCTGCGCTCTGCTTTCTCCCAGAACAAAAGTAGGGACTCAGAAACTTCTGGGAAAGGGACTAAGGTCGAGGGCCAGGTCAGAGATGGGGATAGAGAGTAGAAACAGGGAGAAAGAGCATCGCGGAGGATCTTTGCACCCGGTCTTGCCAAGGGGGTGTGGGGCCTAAAGCCTTATGGGCCCCTCTCGTACACCCAGCAGGGTGGGCTGGACTTGGGCACCCAGTTAAACGGAGGATGAGAGCAGAATGGACAGTGCCTTCAGAACTGAGGACGCCACTCTCTGCCGGGCCTCCCCCCTCTGTGTTGAGGCCCAACCGAGGGGAGGCTCACCGGCTTCTGCTGCCCCAAACACTCAGCCTAGGTTTCTTTTCCTGGGTCCTCTACATCGAGGCTGCCTTTCTCGGGCAAGCACGGTGACTCTGCTACATGCTTTGACCATTTCATTCTTGAGAGAAGCTTATTCTCTCTACTTTCTCACCTAACACTTGCTGGGGGCAGGGTGGGCGGTGAGAGGGTGCTCCTCTCTCCTCCCTGCAGCATTTGCAAGAGCTCCAGCTCTGAAGCCTGTTCCCCCCCCCCCAGCGCCTGCCCTAGATACTTCCCTCTCAGAGCAGGGCCGGTGTTCAGTATGTGTGGTGTTGGAGGGTTGGGGGTGTGCTGGCCAGTGTGTTTTCCTGTTTGTATTATGAGAGGAAGTTGGCCGTGAGTCAGCAGACACAGGAACTGTCTAACTAGAGGAAGACCCCAGCATCTGGGGGGGGGGGTAGGGGAGTGTCCCTGCTGTCCCAGCTCAGGGACCGATGTCATCCTCAGCCTTCCACAGCCCCACTTCCCCAGAGCCTTCCCTTTTAGAAAAAGGACGCTAATGATAATTAATAATTAAAATGCCCGTAAAATAATAGCTACTAGTTATTGAGAGCTGCCAGTGTTCCAGGCCCTGTGCAAACACCGCTGTGCAAACACCGCTTTGCAAACTTCAATTACTTATCACGATACTCATATGAAATAAGACATTTTACGACCTTTGTTTTATAGATAAGGAAACAGGGCCCTTAAATGACTTGATCTGCTAGAAAGCAACAGATTGTCCAAGTTACCTACAACCCTGGATGGGAGCCCAGAAACAGGTGTCTATGTGGGAGGGTTCCCTCCTTTCTTCCGGGCGTGGTGACAATGCTCCTCACAGATCTTCGACTATAAGGAGTGAAATTAATCAAGGTCCCAGCTGCTTCCCTCTGAAAAAGGAACTCCTGCTCTAAGACCAGCCAATGGCAGGGCTTAGTAAGACATCTAGGGACTTAAACTGCGTGATGAAAGTGACTCCTCCTTCCAACCACCTCTCTCTCTCTCTCTCTCTCTCTCTCTCTCTCTCTCTCTCTCTCTCTCTCTCTCTCTCCTCTCTTGTTTTTTTCAAGACAGGGTTTCTCTGAAGCTTTAGAGCCTGTCTTGGGAACTCATTCTGTAGACCAGGCTGGCCTCAAACTCAAAGAGATCCACCTGCCTTTGCTGGGATTAAAGGTGTGCACCACCACTGCCCGGCTCCAACCTCCTTCTTTGATCTTGTTCTCTGATAGCTCTCCCAGATCCAGGCCACTGCCCTCCCATAGGCCTATCCCCTTATCAAATTCCTGCCCAAGTCAACCACCTTCTTGTTGGAGGTCAGGCTGAGCCTGCAAGAGAGGGAAATTACAAACAAACAAGAAATTCACAGTGCCTGAGGAAATGTGCCTGTGCTAAAGGGTATCCAGGTAAGGTGAAGGAATTCCAGTCCTTTTTATTTTGTTTCCTTTTGGCAGCTGGTAGAGGATATGAACCCCATTTCACACTAATGTTTTAAAATGTATAAAATAAAATATATAGGAGTATAAAGGAAACCAATTGTATTGCAATAAAGTTATAAAACTTTTAATGCGATATAGTAATGTATGTGTCTTTTTTATTAATGCTTTAAATAAGATCAAGTGTTAGGTTGATACCTCACATAATTTTAAAACAGTAATGAATGTAAATGCTATTTTAAAGATCAGCAATACTATAGTATGGAAATGCTTGTGATTCCTATTCCTAACAAAATCATAACTATGGCTAATATGGCTGCTTGTTATCACTTTTGTAGCTGAAGGAAATGGTAACTAGCACCAGTTTTTCTCCTGTCGAGTTCCAAGTTAAGGGCACCAGAGTCAGGATAGAGCTAGAGAGCAAGACCTGGCTTCCTTGCTCAAGCCTGCCTCAGGCCAGTGAGATGAGGTAGGTAGAAAGCTCCCAGCACTTACATTGTATTTCCTTCTCCATTTTCCCCTCACTCTTTCTCTCCTCTCCCTCCTACCTTTCTTTTCTTCCCTCTCCTCTCTTCCTCTTCTCTTTCTTTCTTTTTAAATTTCATTTACTGTGTGGATAGTTTTGCCTGATTATGTCTGTGCTCTAATTGCATGCAGTGCCGGCAGCATCCAGAAGAGGGCATCAGATTCTCTGGAACTTGAGTTACAGTTAAAACTTAAAATTGTGGGTGCTGGGGACCAAACCCAAGTCCTCTGAAAGAACAGTGGGTGCTCTTAACCTCTGAGCTATTTCCCTAGTCCCCTCTGTTCTTTCTATTCCTCAATTTCTGTCTCTCTTGCTCTGTTCTCTACATCCTCCAATTTGGACATTCTGTCTTTCCTGATCTCTGGATCTCTCTGTGTCTTCTCTGTATGTTTGTCCTTCTGGCTTCTGCCTTTCTGCACACCTGGGCTCTCATAACCCATCCCCAACAGAATAGAGCAGATTCAAGTGGACTTCTGTAACCTACACTCAGAGAGACAAGGAAAATTCTTTGACTCTAGAACAGTCGTTCTCAATATGTGGGTTGTGACTACTTTGGGGTCAAATGATACTTTTACAGGAGTCACCTAAGACCTTCATAAAACATAGGATTCATAACAATAGCAAAATTGCAGTTATGAAGTAGCAAGGGAAAAATTGTATGGTTGAGGGTCACCACAGCATAAGGAACTGTACTAAGGGGTCATAGCATTAGGAGGGCTGAGAATCACTATGCTAGAGTCCCTGGAGGAGGAGCACCTCAGGGCCTCAGGCTCTGACCTGAGAGCCAACCCCCTCCCCCTTTCATTCTTAGCTTCTGGAAAGTAGAAACAGGTCAAGTGGGAGGTAAGAATATGGGCAGGAATGGGTGGTGAGCCCGTCAGTTAGAAGCTCCCGTGCATCTGATTGTGGGCACATCAGTTTGTCCCTATACTCTAACTCCATACAGCTGCAATTCAGAGCTCTCAGTGGTGAGGCTTCCCTGTCCTCCCCCCCCCCCCCAGCATTGCTCAGGTCTCATGTGAGACTCAAGGACTGGCATGGCTCAGAGCAGCTGTAGAGAGATGAATGAGTCACAGGAAGGGAAGGGCCTAGGTAAGGGGGTAGCTAGCATCCCTTGGAAAGGTCTCTTCATTTCCAAGAGGCCAGCTTGGGTCCCTACTAGACCCTGAGTCAGATTCTCCAATTTTTCATTGTCAAGATCACTACCACCATCCTCACCTC